ATTATTAATTGCACTAGAAAAATAGCACTGAGTTTTATAAATATGTTGCAATATATACAGGTGAAACTCGATATCATGCAAACGTTCAATTATTTCAGTAATTCAACTTAAAAGGTGAAACTAATATATTATATAGACTCATTACATGCAAAGTGAGATATTTCAAGCTTTTATTTGTTATAATTTTGATGATTATGGCTTACAGGGTTTTCATAAGCTGTAAGCCATAATCATCAAAATTATAACAAATAAAGGCTTGAAATATCTCACTTTGCATGTAATGAGTCTATATAATATATTAGTTTCACCTTTTAAGTTGAATTACTGAAATAAATTAACTTTTGCACCATATTCTAATTTTTCGAATTTCACCTGTAATAAGCCTAAATCCTTTAAATCAAACTTTTAAATGAGACTTTTCGCACTCTTATACTGTGCCAGTGTGGCAACTTTGAAGTGAGTTGGCTTTGTGTGTTTGTGATGGTTGAAGTATGTACTTTGTTTGCCGTCCATCGATGGAGTAGAACAGCTCCCGCAGCTCGTCGGTTGTGAGAATCCCGTCTGCGAAATAGGCTTTGAACTCCTCGAAGGACAGCTTGCCGTCGTCTGCAAGAAGACACAAGAGAGAATCAGCAAACACAGCTGTTGCCAAGAAGGTTTAGCGCATTAAAAATGTACCCGTTAGGAATGCTAATTATCAAGAAAAAATGGCGAGTGTCCTCAAAACCTTTTTCCATTTAATTTAGTGCATACATTCTACGTCGATACTTGGAATCACTTTTCATCTAGAAGGGCTTTAAAGCAATAAATCCATTTAGACAGAGAGAGATGGACATGCAAAGGGACCAATCACCACAATTTCTGCTTTTATGTGGTATTTAGTGGCAGATTTAAAGGTGCAGTGTGTATTTTTAGCGACATCTAGCGGTTCGGTTGTGAGTTGCACTAATGGCTCAGCCCACTGCTCACCCCTCCCTTTCGAAGAAGCTACGGTGGCTCAAACGGGACAAACATATCGTCGTCTGAGACAGCAGATAATGGCCAGAGTAAGCCAAGAGTGTGTAACATTGTCACTGTTTCTGTACCACAGTCCATTATAAACCAAATCATGGATAAAGTTTACAAAGCCATAGTCAGGTGAGGATCAAGGGTCTTAATATATAATATAATAATAGTAATCAGCTGATTGTCTGACAACCGTAAACAGCACATTTCTCCCCACATAGCAAACCCATAATACAGCGAGGGAGAAGAACCACATGAAACTATGCAACTATATATGTTTTCTAACAGGGTAGTAAAAGTTTAGCTGGCTAATATGAGCTGTTACTGTGGCTGAGCTGGTTAAAGCGTAAAGCCTTGTTTAAACTCGACGCGTCCGCATGAGCCCAAAGGTGCGCGCGGCAGAAATGACGTGATTGTAACAGCGCGCGCGCCTCCGCATCCCCTAGACACACTTACTACACACAATAGGCTTTCTTTCTCTGATTTTGAAAACTCTTCGCGATCGATTTAAAGGAGTAGTTCACTTTTAAAAAAACTTTTGCTGATAATTTACTCACCCCCATGTCATCCAAGATGTCCATGTCTTTCTTTCTTCAGTCGAAAAGAAATTAAGACTTTTGATGAAAACATTCCAGGATTTTTCTCCATATAATGCACTTTGCTGGGCACCAAACGGTCCAAGGTCCAAAAGACAGTTTCAGTGCAAACTGCAAACTGTTCAAAGGGCTTTAAACGACTCCAGACGATGAATAAGGGTCTTATCAAGCGAAACGATCGCTCATTTAAAAAATAAATAACAAAGTTTAAGTTTTATAAGCTCAAATGCCCGCCTTGCTCTGTTCTGTGTGACTCTCCTGTTCGAACTCGTTCATCAAAATGAACGAATCTTTTTCCGAGTCAATTCGTTCATTTCGTTCGTTAAATAAATCAAATGACTCGAAAAAAGATTCGTTCATTTTGATGAACGAGTTCGAACAGGAGAGTCACACAGAACAGAGCAAGGCGGGCATTTGAGCTTATAAAACTTAAACTTTGTTATTTATTTTTTAAATGAGCGATCGTTTCGCTTGATAAGACCCTTATTCATCATCTGGAATCGTTTAAAGCCCTTTGAACAGTTTGCAGTTTGCACTGAAACTGTCTTTTGGACCTTGGACCGTTTGGTGCCCAGCAAAGTGCATTATATGGAGAAAAATCCTGGAATGTTTTCATCAAAAATCTTAATTTCTTTTCGACTGAAGAAAGAAAGACATGGACATCTTGGATGACATGGGGGTGAGTAAATTATCAGCAAAAGTTTTTTTTAAAGTGAACTAATCCTTTAAAAAGCTTCCGCAATCGACGGGTTGGTGATCCCTGTAAGTTACTGTTTTACGGTCAATGACAAGAGTACTAATCAGCCGTCTCACGAACGTAACCAGCACATTTATCCCCACATAGCAAAGCCATAACACAGCGAGGGAGAAGAACTACAGTAAGTTACATGAAACAATCCAACAACATATTTTACACCGATGACAAGGGGAAAGTCACTACTCACTGTGTCTATGTCTAGCTTCTTCTAGCTTTCTGCGGCTTCTCTTTCAAGGTAGTGACGAAGCGCGCTCTGTAGCGCTGTGTGTTCGCTGTCGGCTACGGTAGAAACATGACGTCACAATATGTCGACCTTCATAGAAGGGTTATGTAGATATAAATGCCTCATTCTAAGGTAATAAAAACATTACGGTTTATTAAGTAAGTTCTTTATACACCACTGAAAACATAGTTATGGATGTCATATTGCATTTCTGTTAATAGATACTCAAAAATTTTACACATTACACCTTTAACACACACACAAAAAAAAAAAAAGTTTATGTCCTGATGGCCTGATACAAAACCGTGCAGTTTGAATCCTATAAATTGAGACGTAGCTTGCAATGTTCACAATATCTTTCCAGTTTTGTGTGCAATACACATCAAACAGTTGGTGAATGGAGCAGAAACGCTGACTGAAATATATTATCCTGTGTTTCTCAGGTCAGATAAACACCTGGCAATGCTTTTTACTGACGGCAGATGTGGTAGATCAACCCTGATCCGTGAACTAGTGCATAGCTCTTATTATTAGGTAAAGTGCAGAACGTGTCATCCGTCAAGAGCCCAAAGAGAAGAAAGGGGAATTTACGTGACAGCACTCATTCATGGCTGACAGATCGTCTACATCACTTCCTCTCACGTCGCTGAACATTCGGCTCTCTGACATTTATCAGCCTCCCGAAAGACACCAGATTCTGTTAGCCCTCACTTGTGCATTTGTGGTTGGCTGACACTTGAGCTCGACGTCAATGGTGACGTTTGACTTGGCTTCCAGAACATGGAAACTAATATCTAAAAATCATATCGGCTTAAGCCAATATTAACTAGAAAATGATGTGTAAAAAGGATTTAGGAGAAATGCTTTGTTGGCGTTGCTAAATCTCGGTGATATGCTTAACCCTGTATGACATGTGAAATAAAAAAATAAAAAAGTTTTATTTAACAGGTTTGCATAGCTGTGTTTTTTGTCGAGTATCATATTTGATATGTCAGGCTTTTATGGCTCACATCGTAAGATGAAGTTTACTAAGTAAACTACTAAATAACTTGTTTAGCAAGTTATTTTATGCACTATTAATGCATTTAAGAAAAGATAAGATATAAGTTAAACATTATGGAAAAGTATAGAACACTTGAATGAAGAACATTCGAAAAGTAAGCGAAAGTGGATGCATATAATTTTGATTGTTGAAGATTAAGTTCTGTGCTTACATGTTATCATTTTTGGTATAAGAGAAACCATAAAATTGTGTCATCTTTGGACATAGTGTTTTTGTTGTAAAAGGGGTTAGGCAAAATAAGTCTTGACTTCAGCCTAAACCCCTTCGGTCAGATATTATTTAGCATCTAAATTCCTAGGTACTCATTTTGTATTTATCTTTCTAATGTATTTAAAAAAAAAAAAAAATTCTTTCTCTATTTGTTTCATTGTTTTATGTTTTTTTTCATTGTATTATGTACAGGATTTTTGAATTACATATGACCTAAGATTTAATTGTTCCAAATGACCGAAGAAAAATAACTAACTAACTAACTAATTTTTAAATTTAGTGTATTAGTCTTTTTTTGTACTGGACCTGAGTACATATTTTGTTCTCATGTGTCACGTACAGAATGACAATAAAATACCTTGAACTTGAACATGGAAATTTGGCCAAAAAGCAAGATGATATTCTGATGCTTGTAAATTAGATGTTTATAACATCAGTATAGCACAAATTTACATAAAATGCATATAAATAATATCAAAATCTGCCAATATCTCATATTTAAATGCTTAGTTTATGATCAAAGGACTGTAGTTTTAAAACAATGCATTACAAACATGATTGAGAGATGAACAAATAAACCTTCCTCAAAAGCCTGATGATCATATTTGATGAGTTGCTTCCGCTGTAAGTGTTCATCTTCAAATATTACTAACAATATCAGTTATCCTTACGTTTCCTTTATAAAAATCAGGTTTAAAATACACGTGAAGCACGAGCTGAAAGTGGACGTTTGTACAATTATACTAAAAATAGTTTTGCTCATTTAGAGGCTTTTGCTTTTTAGGATTAAAGAAGATTAGACTGAGATTCAGAGGAAATTATTATTATTAAATAGTGACATATAAAGTAGCCTGCATGTGAGCCTATGATAACTTTTATATTGAAACAGAGAAAAGTTTCATGCATAAATCAAAGACAGATGGCAAAGAGAAGCGGCGTGTCTGCAGGGCCAGAGATCAGACCATCCGTTTCTTTGAGAAAGAAGTAAAATACTCATCATTTATAAAGCACACATCATTCTGAGCTAGACAAGTCAAAAAGAACAGTAATTAGACTGATGCTGTCAAAATGGTGATCAGACTCGCAATAGGTTTATATCAGCCCGTTCTCATCCCAAGGCGTCATATACTGACGCTTTTGCCAAAGCATCTACATCCAACGCACATGGCACCCTTTAGCGTCAATATGAGACCCAGATATACATGGGCCAGAAGGCGCCTCCTAGTGGTCTAACCCTAACACTACCCCAGACCTAAACCTACCCATAACCGAAGCGTGTTATATTGACGCTAAAGGGTGCCATGTGCGTTGGATGTAGACGCTTTGGCAAAAGCGTCAGTATATGACGCCTTGGGATGAGAATGCGTTGTTTATATTTATACTTGGGAAACAAATCCATGCACACGTAAGCAGCGAGACTTCTTCAAATAACCATTTGATCCACAAATGTGCAATTTCACTGCAATGCATGAACGAGCTTTGAATGTTTTTAAGTTAAAAACAACATTTTTGAGGCCAAATGGACACTTACAGTAATTACACAGGAGGCTTAAAGCGACAGTGAACATATTCAGAGCAACATCTCCAACATCTCAAGTTCATTCAAGAGCAAATTTAATGGCCATCTGCGTTCAGTCTCTTCACAACAGACTGACCAGAATCCTCTGTCTTTGGATCATTAAAATACACACTAGCCAGCCAAAGATGCACTTAAGAAGAAAAACAAGATCATTTACATCTTGACCAGAAATT